GAGGAAACCCAGCTCCGGCCATCGCTCCATCCCTGTCCTCCCACCGGCTTCTCTGGAAGAGCCGGCAGACCCTCCCCCCAGGGCCTGGGAAGGTGCCACGCTCTCAGCTTCCCTCACAGCTCCCATCCCAGTGGGAGCAGCCTGGAACAGGGATGCAGGGGCAGGTGAGGGACAGGCAGCAGACACTGCCTTCTCCAGGGAGCCCCAGCTCGCCTCAGGAAATCAGAGGGTATTTTATATCACAGAGTCATGTCCTAGGAATGAAGGGAAAGCAGGGAACAAGAGAGCGTGCGCAGGAGAGACAGGAGGACAGAAAACCCCAGGCTGGGAGCGGGCTGTGCCGCGTCAGGGACCCTGGGTGTCACCAGCACAGCTGCTGCGCTCCCAGCCTCCCCGCTTCCCCTCGGTGGCCTCCAGCCCGTCGAGCCTGCGGATACAAGGGAGTTTCCAGCTTCAGCCAGCTCTGCTCTCTCCTGAGCAGGACCCGCTAACCACAGCGGGGTCCCAGTGAAAAACTTGGAGGGAATAACGCGAGCCCAGGGAAAGAAGAAACCCAAGAGGCCCCGACAAAGGCTCCGGCAGGAGGATTTGAACCTCAGATGCGGATGCAGGCTGGAGCTCAGCAGCAACTGCCGCTCATCTCTGGTGATCCTGTCCCCCAACTCATTTAAGTGCTTGCGACGGGGAGGATACTCAGAAAGGAGCAACCACAGGACACAGCGGTGATAAGAAAAGCTGAATCTGGAGTTGCGGGGGGTCAGTACCAAGAAGGGAGGTGAAGGAAGGGGACCCCTCAAGCATGTTCGGCAGCTCGATGGCCAGGATGAAAAGGAGCCTTATCAGGGGAGGTGCAAAGATTGAGAAGACAATTGAGCAGTGAATCTCACACCAAAAAGATGAAAAGCTAGTAGAGCAGATGGGGAAAAAAAAAATAAAAATCTCTTCCTTCATTTAGTTCAATTATTGAGAGGAAAGACCTTCACAGAACAGCAACATTTTTTCCAACATTGCAAAGCCCAGAAATTCAATGTTAAACTTAATCGTCTATTACAATCCCCTAAAAGTGCACAGATAGGTAGGTCACTCCTCTGACCTTAACAGCCCCCATCTCATACAGCCCACAGAACCACAGGAAAAAAAGAAAAAAAAGAAAAAATAAACAAAAAACATCAGGAGACACTTCTACCCAATAGCACAAGCTTCAGGGATTTACACACCAGAAATGTGAGCTCATTTTCAAGACCTTTAGTACACACCCCTCAGGGCAGGGATGTCTTGCCTCCAAATGACTGTATAGACTAATAATGCTGCGTAGCTAAAGGAAGCACCTTCATGTGCTACTATCCAAATGTGAGCATCTCCTCGTTCTAGAGCAAAACCTTCCTCCCTTCTGCAAGATCAAATGCTGGGGCCCCAGGGACAAGCTCTGCAGCCATTTCACCAGAAGAGAAAATTGGACAGGACAATTGTCCGACAGAGTTGGGATTTTGGATGGGAAATACTCGCCTGTTAGAGTATTTCTACTCTAAGCCCCGGCATGACACATGTGCTTCCTGTGGGGATACAATCCCCCTGAAGGGCTACAGGTCCAGCTAAAGAGTACACACATGTATCAGCGAGACCTTGGGCTCCGCAGGCAAA